CATTGCAGCATTAATAAATTATGCAGCTTTATGTTCTTACAATCTCTTTCTTTTCCTTTATTTTGTATGGTTTTTGGGAGGTAATATCTCAGTAGAGTGTTTTGTTTTGTTCTGGGTTGATTTTTATTAATTTTTTTTTTGTCACCATTGTTGAGACTAATTGTTGATGTCTGTGTGTTTTTAAGTTCTGCCATAGCGCTAGCATTCTCATTGAGATTGGTGTTTTTAAATCTGTTAAACAGTAATTGATTGTTGAAGCTTCCGTGGTGTTATTTGTGTTTTTATTTTATTTCTTACACATAACTAACATGACATTGAATGAGAACACAAGCAGGTGAGGATGGTTTTGATGTCATAGCTAGTCTCACCAGACTGACTCTTACATTTTCTATTTTCATGCTGCATGCATAAATAGTATGATGAACACAATTCACAATTCATTATAGCAGTCTAAATAAAAAAACAGTCTTATAGTAAGAAGTTGAAGAGCCCAACAACAGCAGACTCTGTCCTCCATCATGGTGACTTCAAATGAACAGAAATTTCATTAAGAGCTTTTGTTTAAGTGACAGAAATAAAGTGAAAGGTCAGTAATAAGTGAAGCTCCATGTTGAGTAGTTTAATGACCTCTGCTAAAATGTTGAAAAATATATTTTTGTTATTGTGCTATTTGATTAATGTTTATTCATTATTATTTATTTAGAGTTTTATTTTGGGTTGAATTCATCTCTCTGTAGTGAGAACACTAGTGAGGATTTTGCTCTGGGATTTAAGGGGTTAAATGTGCCGGTATAAGCTGCCGGTATTTTGCCGTAAAATCAAAAAAGGAAAAAAATAAACAGCAAAACGTTTTTTGTGTCAACATTGTGGAGAAGAGTAGCGTCTGTGTTGTTTTCAGCTGTTTGTGTGTGGTTCTAGCTGTTTTCTTCAGCTGTTTGTGATGGTTTCGCAAAAACACCAACAAAGCACCTGAGTACTTTACTTATTTATTTTACTTTATCTTTGCACTTATTATTGTTTTCATTGCACTTTTATCATGTGTTTACTAATTTCTGTTGTTACTAACATTTGCAAAGCACGGGAGGTACGCTGCAGGCGTAATCCTCACAACCTTCGTTCAATCCATGTATCTGCTATTTCACAACTCTCTCTTTCTGTGGACCTCTAGAATTTTCAATCAGCTGTTAACAAGACAGATCTGATTACCTCCATAGCTACACACTCTAACTATAATCTCATGGCTCTAACTGAGACCTGGTTGAGGCCGGAGGACACTGCTACACCTGCAGCTCTCTCTGCTAATTTCTCTTTTTCCCACACTCCTCATCAGACAGGGAGAGGGGGTGGGACTGGACTACTGATTTCCAAAGAATGGAAATTTACTCAGAGACCGTCCCTGCCAACAATCAGCTCCTTTGAATTAAAAAATTATTACTAGTGGTTTTGCGTCTCACACTTTACACACCTGAAACTTGCCTACAGCACTTATTCAGTGTTGCTCTTATAGTTGTGTAAAGTGCTTCCTTGTCCTCATTTGTAAGTCGCTTTGGATAAAAGCCTTTGCTAAATGACTAAATATAAATGTACTTACTCTTAAACATACCCCGGAATGTTACATAACCTGCTTTCAGGAATTACCCCGCTGGAGATCAGACAAGGAGGAAAATATGATCAAATTAGAAAAGTGGATTAGATGAGACTAACATTTACACATTTATAAAGCACACACCCTAAGAAAAGACTCACAGCCAAGTGAAATAGTACTTTGAAAACAGCCTGTAATCAAAAAGCAGCCTGTTTTCTGACCAGATCAATCTGACCAGCTTCTGAAATCAGAGCAATCTTCGTCTTTTGTGCGTTCTTACAGCTTGCATTCGTTGTTGCACTACTGCCATCTCCTGGTGTTTCATGTCATGTCATGTCGTCTGTGCTTTCAAATTCCTAAAATTTGTCCAGTTG